GTAAATTATAACACGAATCTTTCGTATGGTGAGCTCACACTTTGGCACTTCACTTAATTATTTTTCCTCTTTTCTAATTGTTTTGTTTTTTTTGTAAACATAAAACTTATAAAAAGTTGATGTTTTTGATATAGTTAGGAGTATAATGAAACAGTTTTTATGAATTTACATAATGGATGTCTGGTCTATAATAGATTTTAATAAACGATGTTCATGGAAACGTTTTATAGTCATTATCGTTTATGTAGAAATAAACCATACAAATAAAAAAATTAATTTTAATTATTTAAAATATCAACTTAGAATTTTTATTCATAATTTTCAAACACTGTTATGACGTAATATACGAAAACTACTCACTTAAAACAGTTTTACACATTAAAGTTGCCTAAAGTTCATATTTCAGAAATGAGTTTTCAAAACAAATGACCTTAAATAATAACTACAGCTAAGATGTGTGAAACTATAAATTATATAAATAATTGTAAGACATTTTTAGTGCTCTGAAACATTTCTACAAAAGTGAACGTCTAATAATATGTTGGAGGTTTAGATGTTCAATGTAACAATATAAATGTATTTCAGAACTTTTCACAATATTGCGACGAAAGTCGAAAAAAACTTATTTTATACTTTCCATTTAAATAAAAACTGCGTGTATATTTTTTATATTTTATTTTATACTTTTTAGTTTTATATATTAAAAACTAATCTATCAAAATTCCATCTGGTTTAGCTTTTATTTCTCTGTCCGGACAAATCTGAACAGCTACACCGACAATCGTAAGCAAATAAAAAACGTATAATTAACGGCAAATTAAAATAAAAAAACTAAAAAAAAACATGCTTTTAAGAGAACTGCAACAGCTTCTTTTATACCTACGATATGGCTGTCTTCACACACCGGACCTTTATCTTCCTATGGCAAGTCCGTTATCCAGCTTACTAAACTTTAGATGCCTTCAGAGAGCACTTTGACGATCGGTGCCTCAAGAATCCTTAACCGCAGATACGAGATCACTCAAAGGGTTGTTAATAGTTTGATTTTTATTATAAATGAAGATAAATTATTCGAAATTATAATAATAATTAGCCCTGTAAGTTCAGTACAATATATAAGAGATAATATATTTCTGGACATTTTATAAAATAATTTCAATATTATTGAGGAAAACTATAGAAACAATGTAGAATTTGATTCTATACACAGTATAAAATATTATATTTTTACTTTTTCGGCTATTATTTAACAGAAGGAAATTATGAACAAACGAGATATTTTACTTTTGAACTTCGGAGTTTGAAAGGTAAAGAAATGCAAAAATAATTGGGAGTTATTCTGTTTGTAAGAATGTGTAGTAGGGGCATAAATTTTTCACCCAATTTCAAGCATAATAGTTGCTGTACCTTTTGTCGAAACATTCTAGAATTTTGCAAAAATATTTTTATATTAGATTAAATATTTGTAAGCACTTTTGACCTGACTCCAGCACCAGCAACGGTCATCGTATTTTTCGTTCAACATCAAAAGATAATGCTCGGGATTTCAATGTCGTTTTTTATCTTTCATTAAAACTTGTCGTAGTACTTTATACGGACCCAAAATAAGTAAAACAGCTTTGATGATATGAAACCGTGCTTTGCAATTCGTTTATGCTTCTAACACAATAAAGTGCTATAAATTAAGACACCGCCAAGTGTCTTAATTTATAGCACTTTATTGTGTTAGAAGCATAAAACAGCTTTATTACTTCTAGCGCCATGTATTAACTAGTCGGATGCAAAACGACCATGAGATCCATCAGCAGGGTTACAGACTAAGCAACTGCTGCAGCATTTTTCAGGCCGAGCTTGTAGCTTCCACCACCACCAATGAGTAGTTTATAAGCGGCTCCCTCCTATTCCAGCGCCTCTGTTTCGGTCTTATTGTATATATTGTACATATGTCAGCATAATAGTACTTATAACGTTTTGTCTCGTTCCAGTCTTGTAACATTTTATATCCCGTTTACCATCTGTATGTTACGCTGTATGTTATACGTCAACCATTTTGTTATTGCAACTTTTGTTCTATATTGTACACATAATTACTTGCATGTAACCTATTCCTCGATTATTAACATTCATTAACATTATTTTATTACTTTGTGTACTTGGTACACCTTGCGACAACGCTCACACAATTAATTGTATTAACTATTGCACGTCATCTCAATCTTAATTATATGTATGCATAATTGTAATCATTCCAATGTAACTTATGTTATGTTTCATATCCATAGACTTTGTGTAGTCATTCTATGCTATAACCTGTACTTTTAATTAATTAACTATAATCTTTGTATTATTTTAATCCTTGTTTGTAACCATGTTTTATTTTATTTTTATTTTTGCTTTATTACTTGCAATCTCAGCGCATCTCTTTCGATTTGTAATGTGGATTGAATTGTTTCATCGTGCATATTGTATTTCAATTATACTCAATCTTACATTACTCTGTATTTACTAAAATATAACATACTGTAATTTTATCATCCAACCTCATGTATTTTATTCCCGGTAGTGCCATGCGGAACCGGATATGTACAAATTTCGTACGTAATAAAGATATTAAATGGATGAACGTTGACTAGTCGAAAATTTTAATTTTACAAGTTGTTATCTACTTTTATCGCATATTATTAATAACTAATTTAACATTTATTACTATTTTGTGTGCTATAAAAATGCCTAAAATAACGCAGAAAATTTTAAAATGAGTTTAAAATCAAAAATTAGGCAAGGAAAGCGTTTTTTTAAAAAAAATTATCTAATGAAAATTCTATGTATTGACTGTTTTCTAGATAGAGAAATAAATCTTTCAGCTCTCCAATAAGACAAGATTCAATATTTTATCATTGTTAGAACGATATTTATTAATATTTAATTTTTGAAGTCGCATGTTTTCAAACTGTTCTTAATTTCTTGAAAATATACTAAAAGATTTTTCTAACAAATTCCAGTTTCATTTTTTAGCTTTTAATGTGTCTTTAGATAATAATTTTAGCTTGATTATTGAAAAATATACACTGTATAAATATTTAATATATTAAAATTACATTATACACTTTCTAATTCAAATTTTATTTTAATATGTATTTTATTGTGTTGTTTGTTTGTTTAGCCAGAAAAATAAATTAATGGAAACTTATCTAGAGATTAACGAGTGAATGTAAAAAAGTTAAAAATGAAAGACTTAATACTATTAAAACTTTTATTTTTTAGATTATTTTGTTTATAATAATATAAAAAAATAATATTTCACAGTGTTTTAATTTTTTTATTTGGGTAAGTATTAATTTAGAATTTTTACATAAAATCACGGGTTTACGTGGGAAAACAGAACTTGAAACTTTAACACCCATTTGCCATTAGAAAATCCGTAATTTCTAAATCCATAAACAATAATAATTCTTTTATAAAGTTTAAAAAATAAAAAAACTATTTTCAATAATATAAATATGTTTATTTATCGGTATTCGAATTATATTTTATAAAACATTTTGTATTCACTTTGTGCAAGGAAATTGCACAAAGTGAATACAAAATATATAATTAACAAATTGAGATGTAAAAAAAACAAATTGAAAAATCCATTAAATACATAAATAACAGAATTCAATTGTTTAATTAATAATAGTATTATATCAAAAATTTGTTTTGGAGTTAAATTATAAAAAACTCTTGCATGTAACTGTTGCATGTAGCCACAGCTNAAATAACTTAATGAAATTACCATTTATGACTTACTGGCTTCTGAATTACTTGATATGATTTAATATTACTCACTTACTGAATTTTTGAATTACGGTAAATATTTAATGTACGGTACTTTACCATGTATGATTGATTTACTTTTAAATCACTGACATTTCAATTACTTCATACACTTTACTATTTATAAATTATTGACTTTTGAATTGCTAGATATAATTTGAAATTACTGAATTACCGACTCGTGAATTACTTGATATGATTTAAAATTACTGAATTGCCGACTCTTGAATTACTTGATATGATTTCAAATTACTGAATTACCGACTCTTAAATTACTTGACATGATTTAAAATTACTGAATTACCGACTCGTGAATTACTTGACATGATTTAAAATTACTGAATTACCGACTCTTGAATTACTTGACATGATTTAAAATTACTGAATTACCGACTCTTGAATTACTTGACATGATTTAAAATTACTGAATTACCGACTCTTGAATTACTTGACATGATTTAAAATTACTGAATTACCGACTCTTGAATTACTTGACATGATTTAAAATTACTGAATTACCGACTCTTGAATTACTTGACATGATTTAAAATTACTGAATTACCGACTCTTGAATTACTTGACATGATTTANATATACTAGATTGCTTAAAAAATAAAAAACTATTTTCAATAATATAAATATGTTTATTTATCGGTATTCGAATTATATTTTATAAAACATTTTGTATTCACTTTGTGCAAGGAAATTGCACAAAGTGAATACAAAATATATAATTAACAAATTGAGATGTAAAAAAAACAAATTGAAAAATCCATTAAATACATAAATAACAGAATTCAATTGTTTAATTAATAATAGTATTATATCAAAAATTTGTTTTGGAGTTAAATTATAAAAAACTCTTGCATGTAACTGTTGCATGTCTCCACAGCTGAACGAAATTAATATATCCTTTCGCAGTATACATAAAGGGCTTATCATACTATGTGTGATAAGTGTTAATATAAATAACTACCTTATGTTTAATTAATTCACTTTTATGTAACCAATATGTTTGAGTAATTTATTAAATTGTCATTCGATTATCGTGTCATGCCAAAACGAGTGTTTAGACAAATGTAAATTCTACACAAATTTTCGATTGTAACGAATTAGTAACTGACTTCCGTTTTCGTAATGTCGCATGACGCAAATGCGTCCATTGTTACATTAACAATAAATGTAAATAATGCGCTTAATTTTAACAATTGTCAAAGCTAATTGTTTATTCGAAGCCATTCTAGTTGAACGCGAATTTTCCGAATAGGAACAGTTTTTGAGCAAGTGAGAAATCGAAATAAGTTAAATCATTTGAATATGTGTATGATTTTATTAAGTGAATATGTAAAATGATATTGTGGAATTGTTAACAAAATTTGAAATTTATTAAATTGTTATATATTCATTATTATTCACAGTGTATATCTGAAACCTCCAATTGCCTTCAAGTAAGATTTGTGCACTTTTTTCCATTTTATTTAGAGAATTAATGCATTCTTTTCACTTAATATTGCAATAACACTTAACAAGAATAATTATCGTTAACTAAAGTCTCAATGATTTATACTATAATAACTGTCAAATATTAGTATATATGACAATTCTTAATTACATAAAATAATCCACATAAAAGTTAGGAGGTAGAATTTCTAAATGTGATATTTAAATTTGTTATAGTTCGCATATAACAAGTGATTTTACTGTTTGCTTAAAACTAATGTAACGAATTATATCTAAAATTTATTACAGGTTAGTAGATATTTCTTTACATCATTGTAAAAGTTTTGTAATCATCTCTGTATTGTGATAATATATCTGCATATAAGCATTTAATAGACTACACATTTATAAAAATTTTCCTGTAAAAGGTTATATATTTTCTTTAAATTGCTGGACAGCAGAAACCTATCCGCCCATATTTCTGCAGGAAGGGCAGCAACAGTAAAGAAGATGCATTAAATAGATGTCAGTCTCTGTTCTTCCAATTTCATTATCTGGAGATTAGCATTCTACAGACATCACTTTCATATATATTGCTACATCACAGACTACTAAAAGCAGAAACATGTTAAAAATCTGTTTTTAAATACATTTTAGTTCAGATAATAGGTTTATATCTTAAAAGGTATTTACATCAATGCATATTTTTAATGTACAAGCTTCTTGAATTTACGCATCAAAAATACAACATAGAAAGTCTTAACAATTTTCAAGAACTTTTGTACTGTTAACCATTACTAGCACTAAAGCTTTTGTTATGTAGATTTTTCCTAATGACTCTTAGCTTCGCTTCTTCTGGGTTATTGTAACACTAACTGAAATAAGTATATTATAGTTCTGTCTATATATAAATAAATAATAACTATAAAATTGTTTTACAGGAATTCACGGGATATATACATTTCAATTTGTTTGTCATTTGAAAAATTATTACATTATAAATAATAATGAGGTATGTACGTTAAAAAATTACATCTTATCTCTTAATTAATGTTCATGAAATAATATTCAGGAAAAAATAAACTCAAACTACTTGTGAAAGCTGCAAATTATTAAAAGAAAAAGTAAGCGCTTTTCAAATAATTTGTGCTTTATTCAATTTAAAAGTGATATTAAGACTTTAAAGTCAAAAGAACATATTTAGATATTTCTAGATATATTTTAAACAGACTCTTATCATATGTATAATTTCTAACTCGTATAACGAGAACAAGACAAACGAAAATCATTTCTCGACAGTACTTAACACATGTAGTTCTATATTTAATAGAGACTTCATTTCAGAGACAGTACTGACTTTTTTAGTTAGGTAATTTAGCAAATATAATTATATGTTATTTAAATAAAAATCAATGCAAGAGTACAGTCGACCCCCCTATAACATTGTTGATTTTTCCGTTTTATATGAATTCCATGTTGTACGAGTCACTTAGATTTTATAAATACGTGAACCATTCACAGCCCGGCACACGTATTTATAAAATCTATGTGACTCGTACAATATGGAATTCATATAAAACGGAAAAATCAAGTGTTATAGGGGAGTCGACTGTATATACTAGATTGCATGCATTGATTGTCGTATAATATAAAATTATTTTGGTTCTGCGATAACTATATTATTGTAGAATCACAATATATTCTAAGCAATATTCGATCAAGTATGATAAATTATTTATATTTTAACTTTTTATCAAACCATTTCTGTAAAAAATCAGATATATGATCCATAATAATTAGTATACGCTCTGAAATTATAAATTTTAATAAAACAATGATAACATTTAAGTTAGATAATAATTTTCTATACATTTTTATAGTAATTGAAAATTTAATTAAGAAAAAACGAACAATTGATAATACAGTAGTGTTTCAATTTTTGACTTTTTAAAAACATGAAAAATTCTAATTTATATTTTGTTCAAATACCTGTTTACTTGTGTTTTTACGTTTTAATCTTTAGTGTAAAAATTCTTTGAATTTTTACACTAAAGATTAAAAAATTCTTAGTTGTTAAATATTAAAAAATTCTTTAGTGTAAAAAATTCAAAGAATTTTTACACTAAAGATTAAGTTAAAAATTGAGTTAAGTTAAATATTATTAAGTTAAAATATATTTTTAAATTTTTTCTGTGCAAAAATTCAAAGAATTTTTACACAGAAAAAATTTAAAAATATATTTTAACTTAATAATATAAGTACAGTTACTAATTTTAAACAATTTATTTACTAATGTGAAGAATAATAAATTCATGTTAAATTATTAAAATTTCAATCGATAAATTCCTTTGGTAATTAAGAGTTATTGTTAGAAAATTCAGTGTAAAATGAATGTTTTCACAAGTTTGCTATTACAGATTCCCAATTAATCGATACATTGTGGTTTTCTCTGCAATGCATTACAGCAACTTCAATTATTTATATAACCTGCGAAAGTAAATTAACAATTTTTAATTAAATCTTATTTTACTATTCAGGCGAAGAAAAATGTTCAAGAAAGCTCCAGATGCACATGTATAAAATACAAGTTCAGTAATGTTGCATTGTTGAAGTTTCAGCTGTTGTGCTCATTATATGTAAAGAAATGAGTATTCTTATTATCCATTCTTATAAATATAATACATATAAAATTTACACCATATAATATATATATACATATATAGTATTGATAGTTTATATTAATATTTTGGTTTTATTTGCATTTCATTTAATGTTCTATTTTCTAAAATCCCTGTAAACTTTATTTTAATTTCATGTTGTCTTTTCACTTAACTATTGCTACGGATGAGCTGTGTATATATGCATATTTACAGTTGGCGTTGTTCCTAATTTGGTAACTGAGGATAACTAACAACTAACAATGCGTAATTGTCAGAGTATGTAATAACTAATGATTATGGTAAGTAATAAGTAATTTTCATAAATTTACCTCTGCATTATCCTCTGAATAATCTTCATAAAAATAGTCAGATGGCATAAATATAACAAGTGGTAACGCAGACAATGTACAGATTGCATCCAATCACATTTCAGTCATTTTTTATCAGTGTAAATTCTACAAACTTATATGCCGCATAAGGCATATCTCCTTATTGACTACCTCGGATATTTCTCCAAGTTACGGAAATTTTTAAAAATTATGCTTAACGAAATCATTTTCAGCATGACTTTTTGTGGATGCCATGAACATACACATCTGGCCTGATACTTTAGTCAACCTATTCACGTCATTTCCACAAATTTTTGTTTCTCATTTCAGTTCTATATTCCCCCCGTCTTATAAACATTTGGCAGTCATAAATGGACATAAAATCCTTGTGATTCTACCGAAAATAAGTTAAAATCTTTTCTGTCTTTACCATGTGCCTCAAAATGGTTAGTGCCTTGTTTGTTACCGTGTGGATATTGTTGCTATCTACATTAATGTTTATTCATTAAAATATATACGGCATTCAGTGTAATATAGAATATATATCCAGTATACCATGTATCATCAACTTACCTTATATATTAATCTAATATCTGTAACACGCAAATTACTGTATGTTTACGCGCATAAACTGGATTGACACTATAAGGTATAAAAAGGGTAATTCAGTGTGCTTGAAGGTAAAGATAAATTCTGGAGTGTTCTGTTGAATGTCTGGAACGAAAGCGAGGTAAATTTGTATAAGGATTGTCTGGTTAGGTGATATAAATGCACATATATATAGGTGTGAATAATCGACAATTATTACCGTGTGACTGCAAGTATAGTTTTGTTGGAGTTAATGACAATGCTGAGCGCTTGATTCAACTACGTGCTGCAATGGACTTGTTTATATTCAGCACATTCTTTCCTCACATATCCACATGAATACTTCGGAGAACCGAACACTGAAGCAAAATCTATTTGCTGTTTACTATTACTAATTTTTAATCTTTATAAATATTTTGCTATTTATTACTTACTGATTATTCAAAATATTCTAGTTGAAAATATGCAGTAGACAGTAAGTAATAAACAGCAAAATATTTCAAATTTACTGTTTAACGTATAAATTCTTTAGTATGATTTATATCTTATTACTGATTTTAAAACTGTTTTTTCTTTGATCTGCCATTTATAATAACATGTAAATTATTTCCCATAATTTGACATTTATGTCTTCCTGACATTAAAATAACTTCATGAAATTGCCATTTATGATTTACTGACTTATGAATTACCTGATATGATTTGAAATTAATGACTTACTGACTTTTGAATTATTTCATGTACTGTACCTTACCATTTATGATTTACTGACTTTTAAATTACTTGATATAAATTACCATTTATAA